AAAAGAAGATGATATAGCAGAGGCCTGACCTTCCTTGAAATTCACTTATGCCCTGTGACTCAAGGGTACTCGTGGCAGCGTAGCCGAGTGGTTAGCGTGTCAAGCTACCGTCCTGCACTGTCGCGGTTCGAATCCCGAGTATTCGTGGCAGTGTAGCCGAGTGGTTAGCGTGTCAAGCTACCGTCCTGCACTGTCGCGGTTCAAATCCCGCTGACTCAAGGGTACTCGTGGCAGTGTAACCGAGTGGTTAGCGTGTCAAGCTACCGTCCTGAGCAGTGTAGCTGAGTGGTTAGCGTGTCAAGCTACCGTCCTGCACTGTCGCGGTTCGAATCCCGCTGAGGGTTTGATAAGACCAATGCGAGGTCGAAACTGCAAGTACCTACCGTACTGCACTTTCGCGGTTCGAATCCCGCTGAGGGTGTTGATAAGACCAATGCGAGGTCGAAACTGCAGTCCACTTCAGCCGGGATGAGATCAACTTTTGGGAAAGTAAGGCTATGTGAAATTCAATGGAAACGTCAGTTCAACTCATCATTGTGGGAAAATTCTACTATTAGTCCTTCATTACCTTAGACGAAATTGGGTGAATACATCTCATTACACTAAAATTAGATATTAAGAAAAGAAGCCCTTTGAAGATTAATACTGGCATACCTTTCATTTGGTTTGAAAAGGCGGGTCGAAGAGTTTCGTAAATTGTCGAGGTCTTCTTCCCACAATCCAATTATCACAAGTCCAAAGCGACCCTCCTGCGGTATCCGGTGCGGCCAATTTACAAATCCTTTCCACCTGCCTTTTCAGACGATGTGAAAGATATGCCAGTATCAAGATGTATTCACCCAATTTCGTTTAATGTGATGAAGTACTGGTCATTGAATCTTCCCACAATGTTATGAATAGAGCTGACATTTCCATTGCATTTCACATAGACTTACTTTCCCAAAAGTTGTCCTCATCCCGGCTGGAGTGGACTGCAGTTTCGAACTCGCATGGGTCTTATCAACACCCTTCAACGGGAGTCGAACCATGACAGTGCAGCATAGGATCTCATCATGTTAACGATTAAGCTACATTGCCATGAGCCCCTTGGGTCACAGGACAGATGTGAATTTCAAGGAGTGCCAGGCATTTTCCCATATCACATTCTTTGGTGGGAGTGTCGATGAAGCAAAGTTATACTTGCTACAACAATCGACTACATCACCTATTTTTTCGTTTATAAACAGAGTTTCTGCTAGTCTCGAGGCTCGGATTATAAACGAAAGAATGCCATTATTAAACCTGGAATCAGCCTGAACATTTTCTCGTCTTGGTCCATCTGTTGGATAGGAAATTAAAGGACAGAAAATATGCAAATTGTACTCCATTGGGGATGCTAGGCTAAAAAGCTAGGTCCACTTCAAATGCATTAGGGTGTAGAAAGCAAGCTGGAAGGACAACATTAGCACATCTCTCTCTCTCTCTCTCTGTGTATGTGTATCTCTAGTGTGAGGTGACTGCACACATGCCTGGCTAGGGAGGTTACCAACCAATGTACACATCCATTACTGATTAAAACATTAGGATTAGATGTGGATGTCAGCATGAGTGACAAGAGGAGTGTTCCTTACGTGATTCAAGAATGGAGGAGAGAAGTGGTCCATTATCGCACCAGTGCTTCCAAATCAAGATAGACACAGGGCTCCCAAAAATGAGATACAATAGGCGTGGGAATGAGAAAGAGGTTAGCTGATTGATGCGTATGCAGCCAAGAGTGAAGAAGATGTACAAGCCTGAAAAGCACAGGACTTTAAATCCTCGAATATGACGTAAACGGGAACGGAAATTGCAGGCCCGTAGACAGAAAGATTTCACACTGCCAGACAGTGACTTTTATGTGGAGCAGGGAACAACTGACAAGCAGGATGAAAAGGGGCTAAATGAAGGCCAGCAGCCATGACCAAAAAGCCCTGCAAATGGTATCCGAAGCCGATTGTGAAAAAAATTACGCTTTACTAAATCCACCTAAAGCGACACACGCCTAGACGACATTGAAGCAAACGAGATCACATG